TAGATGTGGTAAGAGTAGATGGACATCCTAGCCTCATTGTCAATCTTAGAAAACAAAGCATTCAAGTTCCCTTCTGTTTCAGTTTGCTAAGAGTTATTATTAATGAGTATTAAATATTATGAAATGCTTTTTCTCTATTTATTTATTTATTTTTTATTTATTTATTTATTTTGTGACAGTGTCTCGCTTGTTGCCCAGGCTAGTGTGAGTGCCGTGGCGTCAGCCTAGCTCACAGCAACCTCAAACTCCTGGCTCAAGCAATCCTGCTGCCTCAGCCTCCCAAGTAGCTGGGACTACAGGCATGTGCCACCATGCCCGGCTAATTTTATATATATATTAGTTGGCCAATTAATTTCTTTCTATTTATAGTAGAGACGGGGTCTCGCTCTTGCTTAGGCTGGTTTCGAACTCCTGACCTCGAGCAATCCGCCCGCCTCAGCCTCCCAGAGTGCTAGGATTACAGGCGTGAGCCACCGCGCCCGGCTGAAATGCTTTTTCTCTGTTTTTTGTTTGTTTTCTTTTAGGACACAATTAAAATTTGCTTTAAATGTTTCTTTGGGGAAGGGCCACCACGCTTCTACGCAGTGAAGAGAAACATTTTTACAGTCCAGGAGTCCTTTATCTTTTTACACCTCTTATGTCATGAATTCATAGAATCTAGGTTCCAGCATCTCAGGCTCCTTTCCATTGCTTCTCACAAAGTGTGCTATGCCTACTATGCCATAAATTCATAGGGAGTAGTTCCAGCAGATCAGGCTTCTTTCCATCGGTTCTCACAAAATGTGCTTCTAGGTGGAGCAGACTGGCGCTTCAGTTGAACCTAGGTACCTTTCTCTTTGGCTTCCTTCTTATTTTCTGATCATTTTCCTTCACACGTTTCAGGAAGCTGTCTTGGCTCTTAGAGTGCTTAATATGCTCAATACACATATTAATCCTCCTGGCAAGAATCTTGCCCTTGTTTGTTTACAACAATGCCAACAGCATGCTGGGTAAGTGTAGACTCTTTCAGTGTTGCCATGGTGACATCTGTGGGGCATGCCTTTTTGAAAAGTACCCATTTCCTTGGTGTCTACAATATCACCTGTCTTGTAGATTCCCATGTATGTGGCCAAAGAAACAATTCCATGTTCTCTAAAAGGCCTAGAGAACAGGTATTAGTGCCTCTCCTCTTTCCGTTTGTGTTGGCTATTTTGGTAAACTACTGGAAGATGGTGGTTCTGGCGGAAAGAGCTTTTTCTCTATTGAGATGCTCATATATATGTTTTTGTGGTGTTAGTTAATAGAGTGAATTTACATAGATTAATTTTTAAACATTAGGCTGACCTTGCATTCCTGGGATAAACCTTATTTGGTCATAAGGTATTATCCTTTTTATGTATAGTTGGATTTGATTTGCTGATACTTTGTTTTGTTTCGATATCATGAGGTATTTTGGTCTGTAGTTTCTTGAAAAAGGCTTACTCTGGGTATCAAGGTCATGATGGCTTTATAAAATGTGTTCCTGCCTCTTCCCCTCCAACCCCCAGAAGAGTTTTTGTAGAGTCGGCATTACTTTTTCCTTAAATATTTTGTAGCATTCACCTCAAAGCCATCTGGACCCAAAGTTTTGTTTTTAACTTTGAATTTAATATCTTTAATAAACACAGGACTATTGAGGTTGTCTTTTCTTCAGTGAGCTTTGGTAGTTTGTGCCTGTCAAAGTTTTTATCTATTTCACTTAATTTGTTGAATTTATTTGCATAAAGTTCATAATAGTCCCCTATTGTCTTTTATGTGTTTATGGGATCTCTTGAGATATTCCTTTTTCATTGATCATATTGATAACGTAGGTCTCCTCCTTTGTTTCTAATTGGTATAGCTAGAGATTTATCAATTTTGTTGATCCTTTTAAAGAACTAGTTTTCAGTTTGACATTTTTTTTTTTAGTTTCGAGATACTCTTGTTATCTTTCTATAATTGACTGTTTTAGTTTCTTTATTGTCTGAGAGTGAATTTTGTATGGTTTTAATTATTTTAAACTTGTTAAAATTTGTTTTATGACCCAGGATGTGGCCTATCTTGGAGACTATCCTGTGTGCTTTTGAAAAGAATGAGTATTCTGCTGTTGTTGAGTAGATTTTTCTGTAAATGTCAATTAGATGTAATCAATTGATGGCATTTTTCAGTTCTTGTATGGCCTTGCTGCTTCTCCGTCTTTATGAGAGACTGCCTCCAACTGTAATTATGGATTTAATCTGTTTTGTCTGTTCTGTCAGTTTTTGTTTCATGTATTTTGAAGCTCTGTTGTTGGTTGCATGCGTATTTAGAATTGGTATGTCTCCTTAATCAATTGACCCTTTTATTAATATGTAGTATGAACTGTCCCTCTTTGCTCTGAGGTCTGTTTCATTTGTATTAACATAGCCACTCAGGCTTTATTTTGATTAGGGCTTGCATGACAACTCTTTCCAGTCTTTTATTTTAACCTACCTATTATTTGTGGTTTTTATTTTAGTATTCTTTAATTCTTTTCTCTTTTTTTAAAATTTTTAAAGCAATCTTGACTCTTATTCATTAAAATATTCTCTTTTGTTCACTGCATAAGAAGGCAATAGAAAACCTACCTATTATTATATTTGAAGTGAATTTCTTATTTTTTTTCTTCCTGGCAATCTCTGTCTTTTGGTATGTTTAAACCATTTGCACTTTATATAATTATTAATACATTTGGATTAGATCTGTCATTTTATTATTTGTTTTTTGTTCTGTTTATTTCATTCCTCAATTTTTCTTTTCCTGCTTTCTATTGGGGTACTTGTACATTTTTAAATATTCCATTTTAATTATCTAGTGTGATTTTGATTATTTCCTTTATAGTTTATATAGTCATTGCTCTAGTGATTACACATCTTGGACACAGAATAACTAAATGCTTAATATTTGTTAATTGAAGTAGTATTTGGGGATTCTAATTGTGATTTTTGTTATGTTAGTGCTGAATGTTTTCTAAATAAAGTCATTGAAAAGTGTCAGCTTTTCCTAACTTATGATCTATTTAACGTAATATTTCCCTGTAGAGTTTTCCCCCAGAATATTCATGACTTGCTTTGCTTTATCTACAAAGGAAATAGTGTTTGATCTTCGTAATCTCACTTAGGCTGATGTATGTAGATAGATATCATACAGTTCACTTTTGCTTTCTTTTTTTTTTTTTTTTTTTTGAGACAGAGTCTCACTTTGTTGCCCAGGCTAGAGTGAGTGCCATGGCGTCATTGTAGCTCACAGCAACCTCAAACTCCTGGGCTCAAGCAATCCTTCTGTCTCAGCCTCCTGAGTAGCTGGGACTACAGGCATGCGCCACCATGCCCAGCTAATTTTTTCTATATATATTAGTTGGCCAATTAATTTCTTTGTATTTATAGTAGAGACAGGGTCTCGCTCTTGCTCAGACTGGTTTTGAACTCTTGACCTTGAGCAATCCGCCCACCTCTGCCACCCAGAGTGCTAGGATTATTGGCATGAGCCACCGCGCCTGGCCTAACTTTTGTGTTTGATTCAGTTTGGTTTTTATGTGACTTGTAACTTTAACTCTGCAAGCTGTATACATGGCTAGTTTTGAGGACAAGTGCTTTGTTTAAATGATTCTGCTTATATGGTGCTAGTTGAAGCAGGTGAATGGTCCCAAGGTAAACTTTGCCTCTTGCGTATGATGTCAAAAAAGTTTCTTAATTTCTTTCAAGTCTGTTTCCTCTTCTATAAAATGAAAGATTTGAATTATTTGAACTTTGCTAGTTTTTTGCTATATCCAGATTAATGTAGTTTTGCTAATCTATAAATTAGCTCAATTCATTTAAAGGATTTTTGGTTTTATTTCTGTCAAAACCAAACATTTAAAGCACTAGTAGAATACTTTGAAGAGCATGGCAGATTTTACTAATACACTGTTCAAGGTGTCTGAGTTTTAATAATTCACACAGATACTAGAATAACAGCTTACTTAGACCTGTGATATCCATTTATAGGAAATTTATAGCATGAAAGAGTTCAAAACAAGCTGTCATTATGCTTATAATGCCCAAGTAATGCAGCCCTTGGCCAGCAGCTTCAGTCTAGCTCAATGCTGTGTACTAGAGCTTTCTGTTATGCTATAAATGTACGTCTGCACTGTATAGTACAGTAGCTACTTTAATTGTATTTGATTTAATTTGTTTAAATTTAAATAGCCACACGTGGTTAATAGTCGTTAGGTAACAGCATAGGTCTAGCCTCGTAATTTCCTCCTTTATATCTAAAGCTCCATCTTGGAATTTTTTTCTGAATCTCTCAAGCATGAGCTTATTGTAATCATAAACGCCTGGGAAAGTCCTTGACCGCTTAAGTCAGCTTGCAAACTAGGAGAAGGAAGGCTGAACAAATTGGAAAGAAAATAATGCATATAGTGACAATTACAGTACAATATGAGTATTATATCAATGAATAGGTTGATAAAGTGACTAAATGCCTGGGGATGTTCAGTGAAGGAAAATACTGCAGAGATTTTAAGTAGGAAGGGTTTAATATAGGGAGTTAGATGTTGTAAAATTAATATTCAAACCTAACAAGTTCTTGGTTGGGTCTTCAGAAATGACTTCTAGACCAACATAGAACTACCAGGGAATCTGTTAGGAGCTCCCACTCTGGGTTCGTTCTCAAAAGAGAAAACTGCTGCCACTGCTTCCACTTCTACTGCTTTTGGATACCCAGAAAGCTAGAGATAATTACTAGTCTAGAGAAGGTGGGAAGAAATACATAAAAGTAATTCTTTTCTTCTTTTCAGCAACGAGCTGAGTCAGTTTGAACAAGAGAACTAGAAACTCAAATTGTTAAGTGAAAACTTATTTTAGGTTAGGATAGCCTCTCTGAGAAAATGACTTATAATAGAGACAGAGAGAGAACAAATTGCACTAATTGTGGTACATTAACTTTAAGTAGTTTTTATTGTATATGTATACAAATAACCCTTATATGTCCATTCTTTACAGATCCAGGATGAGAAGACTGATAAAAGAAGCTAGCTGAACAGCTATAAAATGCCCAAATCTGGGTTCACAAAACCAATTCAGAGTGAAAATTCTGACAGTGACAGCAATATGGTAGAGAAACCATATGGAAGAAAGGTATATGATTATACTGAAGATTTGTTGACTCCCTTTAAACTGGAATAAGATTCCCAATTAAGTATTTTTGTAATTTCTCACAAAATAAAAAGCAGTATGGATGCCAGATAAATTCAAACCATTTATCTAAGCCCTTTAGAAATAAATTGAATTCCTGGGGATATGATTGTTTTTCATTGCCTAAAGTAAACACAGTTGCTAAGTAAAAATTACTAAGATTGCACAATTCTATAAGATATAATCATGGGGGCGACCCAAAACCTCACAGTCATTTGACATTTCTTCCCCTACTCCCTGACCCTCAATGACAAAACATACACAGTAGATGTTCCATTTTTCAGGTCTGTAACCTTGGATACATTTATATAACTTCTCTAACCTCAGTGTCTCTTTCTCTGCAGTAGAGGACATATGCCTTCTAGAATAGAATTGTTGTGACAGTAAAATGGCATAATTGTACTTAATCCAATACCTGGTATATAGTAAGTGCTCAGTAAAGGTTAACAGTTTTTGTTATTATTAGTCATCCCCAACAACCTGTGATTCTCTTTTTGTATCTTTCTTCATTCCTATGTAATTTAAACCTTTAGAACCTTCATTTGGATTTCAGCAATGGCCTCACTATCCCTAGTCTTTCCATATATAGTTAGTTTTATACATTATGTTTAAAATTTTCCCTTTTGTTTACTTTTTTGAAGTCTTTTTTTAAGCCTTTTTCTTGCTGAAGGTTATCTGAGATGTTTCTAGTTTTTAGCTAATACAGTTGTGAAACCATTGTCACAATCTAGTTTTAGAACATTTCTGTCACTAAAAAGATTCTTGTCCATTTGTAGTCAGTCCTCACTCCCACCCCAACTCCCTAAATCTGCTTTCAAAACCAAGAAGTGCACATTTTCAAACTGTTCTTTTCAAAATTGGGAATTTTAGGATCAGCTTGTAGTTACTACAAAAATATCCTCCTGGGCTTTTGATAGGAATTTTATTGAGTCTGTACCTTGAATCTGTAGATCATTTTGAGTAGTATTGCCATCTTGATATTGTATTCCAATCCATGAACATGGAATATCTCTCCATTTATTTATTCTTCAGTTTCCCTCAGCAATTCTTTGTAGCTTCCAGCATACAAGTCTTGCACTTCTATTGTTAAATTTTTCAAAAGTATTTTATTTTTTTCAGTGCTATTCAGTAGTTTTTAATGTATTTACAGAATTGTACAATCATAACTGCAATTGATTTCAGAACATTTTCATCCCAGTATACACTTTTAGAGAAAGAGAAAGTTACAAATAATATCTTATGATATATCATTATGAGCATACTGACCTTGCAGATTCCCTCACATGATCTCAGGGAACATAATTTGAGAACTTCTGTACCAGTGTAATAAGCACATTAATGAAACTGTTGAGTGTACAGGAAGAAAAAAGAGAAGCAATCAGTGCTTCTTAGCGGTTCAGGGATGGCCTCAAAGTGAAATAGATACTTTGGGTTTTTTTGTTTTGTTTTGTTTTTTTGAGACAGTCTCACTCCGTTGCCTGGGCTAGAGTGCCTACCATGTTTCCCCGAAAATAAGACAGGGTCTTATATTTATTTTTCCTCAAGAAGACACCCTAGGGCTTATTTCTAGTAGATGTTATTTTTTTTAAGTACAGTACAACAATCTACATTTATTCAAATAGAGTTAAGTCGTCGTCGTCTGGAACATCATCATAACTCTCAAATCCCGAATTCCATCCTGAATTTCTTGCAACTCTGTTTCCTTTAGAACCATTGGGCCCAATTTCTTATGTCAAGCAATAGAGCTCTCATGGAGCAGATGAGAAGGGCTGCTCATCTTCTTTACCACTCCCTGACAAAATGCATGGGTTGTGCAGATATGCTGCACATCACTAGGTCTTATTTTCAAGGTAGGGCTTATATTGCACAAATGCTTAGAAATCCAGTTAGGGCTTATTTAATGGGTAGGTCTTATTTTGGGGGAAACACGGTAGCTCACCACAGCAACCTCATCCTGGGCTCAAGCAATCCTTCTGCCTTAGCCTCCCGAGTAGCTGGGACTAGAGGCATGCACCACCATGCCCAGCTAATTTTTTTCTATATATTTTTAGTTGTCCAGCTAATTTCTTTGTATTTTTAGTAGACAAGAGGTTGCACTCTTGTTCAGTCTGGTCTTGAACTCCTGAGCTCAAACGGCATTGGCCTCCCAGTGTGTGAAATAGATACTTAATCTGGATTCTGAAAGAATAAGTATTTACAACCATTAGGAAAGTGAAAGTAAAGGGTAGTCTAAGCAAAAGCAACAAATAAACAAACATGAATCTGTTGCAGTAGTGCATACTGAGTTGGGATGTAGCCTATGGAGGATAGGAGATTAGCTATAGCATTAAACAGGGGCCAGTTCATTATGGCCTTGTGTGCCTTGCCAAGGGTTTTGGAATTTATTCTGTGGTCAGTGAGATAGAAGGGAGGGGCCATAGAAGAGACCACTTAGAGTGCTATTTTTAAAAATCCCAACAAGAGGAAATATGGGCAGTGGCTTTGGGGATGGAGAGAAGTAAGATTTAAAAATGTTGAATAAATTAACCTTGTATATGGATAAAAAGTAATCTGAGTCTACTGTGAGGTTTCTGTTTTCAATGTCTAGGTTAATGATTGGACTATTCCCTGAGAGAGAATTCAGGAGAAAGAACAAGTTGTCTGAAGAATTAGTTTGGTTTGTACTTGCTGAATTGAGTTTTGGCCATTGGGATATCCAAGGAGAAGTGTTAAGTAGACAGTTAGGTATGAGTTTAAGAATTCAAAACAGAAGTGTGATTGGAAATAAATACATAAGGGTTTTGTAGAAAAGTAAGCTATGGACATGGAGATGTTACCAAAGAGAGTGGGGCAAGAATGGTGGAGACTATATTCTGAGGAATTCAGATATTTTAAGAGAAGCCAAGTGACAGGGAAAGAGAAGTACCTAGAGAGAACCAAGGGAGGTTCCACAGAGAAGAGGGCCTCAGGGAGGAGAGAATCTGTGGTGCCAAATGTCACAGAGAGATTAATAGGACAGATGAGGCCATTGAGACACCTTAGATGACCTTGGTAACAGTAGTTTCAGTGGAGTTGTGGGAACAATACAATGTTAGATTTGAGGAAAGCGTTAGAACTTCTATTTCTAAATGTTTATAGTGAAAATTCATCTGGGTTGCTTTGGGTTTGAATTTATAAGGCAAAACTCGTTGAAGCTTTTATTTTTCCTAGGTACTTTGTATGTATCTTTTGAAAGCCGTCACTCAATAAATCATAAAAGTATGATTTCTTAAAAGTGTAGGAAAAAGCAAACACTTTCTACTAGAATATTTCTATTAAAAACATTCCTTAGGTAAGTTAAGAATACTTGTTAATCATTAGATTTATAAAATAGGAAGAATAAATACAGACTATTCCTTATTTTATTAACTTTTGGCTTACATAAAGGGCTAGATTTAACTATTCTCAATCTCTATTTAGCCAGACTATATTTTTTCAAGATCATATTTGGATAGTAATCAAGAGCTTTTCTAAGGCAATGTGCATGGTACTTAATGTCATGCTTTGGGATTTCAGAGCAACTTGACATCTAAAACTGTTCTTAGAAGTATTTCCCTCAGTTTTTAAATGATTATTTCACTGCTTATTTGTACCTTAAGAAAGGAAGGTCCATAATTTCCATTCCAAAGTTCCTACTTATAGACCATGTTGCTGCTGTTTAAGACAAAGTGAAGAAATTAGGAGGAGAGGGGTGAGAGAAGGTATGACCATATTATTCATTTGCATATTTGCAATTCATATTCTTTTAATTGTCTTTTCTTAATGATTGGCTTTTGAAGCCAGCTTCTGGGCTCTGCTGAGCTTTTTCCCATAAAATATTTAGAAATGAATATACAGTTACTATATAAATTAGAGACGTTATTTACAGTTTAGTATGACAGAATATTACTGTTATGAGATCCTAAATTAATAAAATAACCTGTGCCACATGTGGGTATAGTACCTATAGTCCCAGCTAGTTGGGAGGCTGAGGCAAGAGGATCACTTGAGCTCAAGAGTTCCAGACTAGCCTGGGCAACATAGCAAGATCCTGTCTCTTAAAAAAAATTTTTTTGTTTAAATTAACCTAAACCAAAATTTAACTTCTTAAATAGAGGATAATTCAAATAATAATTACATTCTATAGCAATTTACTTTTTTAATAGTTATTTTCATTATCTCATTAAATATCACACTAGTTAGTTTGATCAGGCACATGTCCTCACAATTCTTCAACTGTTTTACCCCTTCACTGCTAATCTTACCCCTTCACTGCTAATCTGTGGTCTTTTCTCCCCTTTGGTTTTAGTTTAGTCTAGAAATTTCTCCACTACTGCTTTTAGCTGTAAATCAGTATATATAATTGGCAAAACAGAATCTTTTGTAAAACCTAATATGATAACCTGGAATTTGGGTTAAATTCATAAAGTGTGAGAGTGGGTGTTAGTAATTTTAACCTTCTGAATAGTTTTGTTGTTTTTTTTTTTTTTTGAGACAGAGTCTCTCACTCTGTTGCCCGGGCTAGAGCACCGTGGCATCAGCCTAGCTCACAGCAACCTCAAATTCCTGGGCTCAAGCAATCCTTCTGCCTCAGCCTCCCGAGTAACTGGGACTACAGGCATGTGCCACCATGCCCAGCTAATTTTTTCTATATATATTTTTAGTTTGCCAATTAATTTCTTTCTATTTTTAATAGAGATGGGGTCTCGCTCTTGCTCAGGCTAGTTTCGAACTCCTGACCTTGAGCAGTCCTCCCACCTCAGCCTCCCAGAGTGCTAGGATTACAGGCGTGAGCCACCGTACCTGGTCCTGAATAGTTTTGTTGTATCCTTTTCATCATCAATGTAATTCAGCCATTTATTATTTCCTATCGAAATGATTACTGATAAATTTTTTCTTTTATTGTCCAAGAAATTTAATACATGTTCATTGTAGAAAAAATTAGAAAATACATCTAAGAGTAGTGAAAATTGAAATTACCTTGTCAAAATTATGAAGGATCTGAGATTTTACCCTACTTGCAAACTAATCAGTTTCACAGATGCTGGCAGAAGACACAAGACTCCTGGGTCAGAGATAAAGCAATGCCTATTACACATAGCAATTACAGTAGCCAGAGTATGAGCCTTCATGTCTGTTTCGAGCCTCATTTCTCACAAGGGGGGATGTAAAGAGGGCCAGGTGACAGCTGCATATGCAGTGGGTTGCATTATAGGAGAGTAATCCCAAATCTTTTATGATGGACAGTAAGTCTACCTGACCTTTGCCATTTTAGACATTTTATCCTGGACAGTGAACAGACCTGCCCTTTCCTCCTAAGGGAAACACTCTATCCTCCAAGGCTGTTTTTTATACAAGTATCCTGGAAAAGACAGTTCAGAACAGAGGAAATTAGTGCTCTGCTTGCAAAATGTACAGACATGTAAGAGGGATGTGGAGAATTATCTCCCAACACCCCTGTAATGCCATCACCCACAGATAGTTATTAACATTGTGGTTTACAGGTATAATCATTTTATTGTGCCCTTCACAAATTGAAAGTTAGTAGAAGTTCTGCATTGAGGAACTCACTGAAGGCTCAGATGATCTTTAGCATATTTTAGCAATAAAGTATTTTTAAATTAAGATATGTATATTCTAGATGTAACGCTATTTCACACTTAATAGACTACCATATAGTAGAAACGTAACTTTAATATGTACTGGGATGCCAGAAATTTTGTTTGATTCACTTTATTACTATATTGCTTTATCATGGTGGTCTGGAATCAAAACCCACCGTATCTCCAAGTGTATCTTTGAAGAGTTTTCTATTTATATTTATGTACTTATATATATATTCTTTTTTATTTTCTAGGTAAATATTCGTGTGTTATTTCTTTTTTCTATCTTACTGAGATGGTGAAGTATTAATACATTATTTAATAGCAGCAGTGATAGAAGGTCACTCTTGTCATTGATGTTTTCATTATCATGTATGGCTGCTGTTGCAGGTTCTTGAAAAAATAACGTTAAATGAAAAAGACCTAAAAATATTTTAAAATAATAAACCCAACAGAGTTATAGACTTTTTAATGTCATAGATAGGGAAGAATGATGTGCTACTGATGCTGTCCTGAGAGTATTTCTACCATTTGGTAATTCAGAAATCTCAAGACAATCAAAATGAAATATTTCTTTTGAAAGTTATTTTTCCCAGATCCGAAAATAATTTTTAAAGTGTTAAGAATCTCACTAAAATTATTTGTTCAGATAATATTTACAAGTAACCATTTTATTTTACAGAGTTTGGGAGCAGTTATGAATAGTCGCACTAATCATCATATTGCACAAGAGAACATAGTGGATACATTCTTGTGAATATTTTTCATTTAACATAGTGTCAAGTTGGTTTCTTTTAACTGATTTTATGGCACAGAATCTTTACTTACACAGTTGGCAAGGGAGAAGTGACATCTTCATGTTTTTCTTAGAGCTTTTATTTGTAACAGTGATTCATTTTCTAAGACAAGTTACTGGAGTTTTGTTGGTTAACTTCTGTATTAATCATGGCTTTTTATTTTCTGTATTTTATTTTTTTGAGTTCCAGGCTAGAGTACAGTGGTGTCACCATAGCTCTCTGCAAGCTCAAACTCCCAGGCTCAAGTGATCCTCCTGCCTCGGCCTCAGCTTCCCAAGTAGCTGGAACTACAAGCGTGCACTACCATGCTTGGCTAATTTTTTATTTTCTGAATTTCTGATGCTTTGACATCTGGGCCTTTCTGACCCTTGAGAGACTATCGCTCCTAGAGATAGTAAACAACTCATTTGTGAGAACACCTTTTATATGCAGACCAATCATTCCAGAGTCCACATCTAAGCCACCAACTTTGTCTACCACTCATGCTCTGGGCCACTATCCTCCTCCTCTAATCACTCCAGAACTAGATCCCAGACAATTAGAGAAATAGCCCCTATACCCTAGAGCCTGCTCAAATTATTCAAGCTAGTAAGTCCTAAGACTATATCCTGCCTTACCCTTTCTTTCCTGTGGAAACCATGATAAAAGCTCTTGCTCACATTTCGTCCTCCCTCTACCTTCTAACCAACCCTAGTGCTTCCCCACGTGTTTTGGTGTGGCATGGCATGCCCCTCCCTCACCTTTGGCAACTGTAATAAACTGTGTTTTCAATGGCAGTAATGTCCTGATTTGTTGGCCTCACCATACTTGAATAACAATAAGACCTACATTTTAAAACAACCTTGTAAGCAAACAATTCTCTGTCTTGTGCTCCTTTAATATCAGTTTTATTTTAGACTTATAAAATAGATAGGGTAGCTTTTAATCTTCTACATATTTCTATAGAATTGTTCATATGAAATGGGAAATATCTGTTTTTTGAATTTTTTGTTAAAAGTCTATTGTAAAATCTGGGGTAGGTGCCTTTTTAAATATAAAATCTTCTATGGATTTGTTTTCTATGGTCATTGGTCTATTCAGGTTTTCTCTTCCTTTCATGAGCCAATTTTTAGAAATGTGTGTTTTCCAAGAAAATTATTCATTTTTCTAGCCTTTATGTTTTTTTAATGGCATAAAAATGTAGTATTCTTTTGTAACTTCTTAATAACATCCCTTCTGGAGTTGTATTCAGGCTCAGTCCCAGTCTTTACTCTCTTCTCTCTCGTTTTCGTAATTAGATTCACCAAAAGTTTAATTCACTTCTTTTAGAATCACTTTTCAGTTTTATTGGTAGTCTACTTTTTTTGGAGACAGTCTCATTCTGTCACCCCAGCTAGAGTACAGTGGTATCCGTAGTTCACCGCAACCTCTAACTCCTGGGCTCAAGCGATCCTCCTTCATCAGCCTCCCGAGTTGCTGGGGCTGCAGGCATGTGCCACTACATCTGGCTAATTTTTCTGTTTTTTGTAGTGATGGGGACTCACTCTTGCTCAGGCTGGTCTCAAGCACCTGAGCTCAAGTGATCCTCCCGCCTTGGCCTCCCAGAGTGCTAGGATTACAGGCATAAGCCACCATGCCTGGCCCGATAGTCTACTTCTTAAAAAAATTCAGCATTTTAATTTTGTCTTTCTCTTCTTCCTCCTCTCTTTTCTTTATTTTTCAATTCATCTTTGGTTGAAAACAAGTATCTTTTATAGTCTAAATCTAATTGCTTCTGAGACTCTCTACCATTGTGCTAAATACCATTTATTATCACAGCTTGAGGAATGGTCTTTTAAGCTCTCTTGCTCAAGTATAATGTGGGTTGGTTCTCAGTATCAAGCATATGTTTTTTACAAAGGAGTTGTCACACCCCAATTTTAAATGTGCTATATCAATTTGGATGTTGGACTACAAGAGTGAACTTTATAATAGTTATAGGCTACTTCACCTGACTGGGTGGGTACATAATATTTTCATCTGATATATTGTCCATTTTCTAAGCTGAAGACAAAATATATCCTTATTTCTCTGGTTTAAGAAATGGAGTTGTAATCTTTTACTGAACTAGTTAGATTATCCTTTGGTTCCTGAGATCATGTATATTTATTTCTTTATTGATAAAGAGCAGTGGTTTTCAAAGTTTAGCATGCATTGAAATCAACTGGAAGGACTGTTAGATCACTAGGCCCTACCCTCAGAGGTTTTGATTCGGTAGGTTTGAGATAGAGCCTGAGAATTTGCATTTCTAATAAGTTCCTGGGTTATGCCGATACTATTAGTCCAGAGATAATTTGAAAACTGATATAGATGATTATATTTTTTAAATAAAACAATTTAATTCAGTTCAGAGTTGCCTTTTCAGATTTATATATTTATTAGTGATACATCAAGATTATACTTAGACATGTGTTTCTGTTATATTGGAGATATTTTACTTTGTTATTTGAAAATTCTGTAAGTGAAAGTGGCGGAATATGAAACAAGTTAGAAAAAAGGTAATTGTTGAAGCTGGGTCTTGAGTACATTGAATGCAGTGATGACTTGAAATATCCTCGCTCTACTTTTGTATATGTTTGAAATTTTCCTGAATAAAGAGGGGTGATATATAACTTTATTCATATTTGATTTTTTTAATAGAGTAAAGACAAGATTGCATCCTACAGCAAAACTCCAAAAATTGACCGAAGTGATGTGGGAAAGGAGATGAAAGAGAAATCTATGAAACGTAAACTTCCTTTTTCCATTAGCCCATCAAGAAATGAGGAACGAGATTCTGACACAGGTAGAATAATTTGGTTTTTGGTAAAATCTTAATTATTTTACTGTGATTTTCCTCTCCTGCAGCATTCCTCTTGACATCACATGCAGTTTATAGAGAAATATTTGTACTTCAGATTTATCATTTTGGGGCAGAAATTCATCTATTTGTCATCCAAATGTGATTTCTAACCACAGATAAAAATAATTTGCTATTTCCCTTACTCTTTTAATGTTTATATCTCTTACCACTTTCAGAACTTAATTTTTTGGGAAGCATTCAAATGATAAGAATTTGCTCAGTGATAAACATTAGGATATGGTAAATTTGAGAAAAAGTTGTTGAGTTTTTGCCAATATGTTATTGGATACACCAAAGAAGTTTAGCCATTTTGGATTCCGAAATGAATTAGAAATATGTGCCACACACAAAAAAATTAAGTCCAACTGCCTAAGTACTAGTCATAGTATTTTTGTTTCTCAAAACTCTTATATACCAGAAATTTATACTTGAGATCAGTCAATCCCAGTTATTCTTAATTAGAACTTTATTACTGCTGTCTAATAAATTACCAAGGTATGTGTTAACCCTGAACTTCTTGAAACTAATGTAAACTTGAATGTTTGTTATATTCTTTGCAAGAAATAATTAATAATGAATTGTTCTTAAGACTGCTTTCCCTTCACTCATAGAAAGTGTTCCATTCTGAGTTTATTTACAGAGACTATATCCTACTTATATCTCTCTAGGCATTTTATTTATCAATATAGAAATGATCTTGACTCTGGAAACTGAAAATACCCTAAAGATTTTTGAAACACCCTATGCTAACCTAGCTTTAGAAAATATATACTTAATTTGTGATAGTATACATTTTTAGTAGGTAGGTTTCTTTTTGTGTATTTTGCTGTCTCTCTTAGCTTGAATTAGAAGTTGTTCTTAAACACTCATGACATTTTTAAACTTTGAAGGTTCTTTCTGAAAGTAAGAAATTATGTGCTTTGTTCATTTTAAGCTACACTGGATTATTCTAGAGATTCAGATTTTTTTTGTTTTCTAAAGCATGGCTCTCTTTATCCTTAAGCAATAATATATTCTCAAGCTATTACTGGATCACTTAGCTAAGAAGAAGATGCTTATGTGCCTTTAGATGTCTATTTAAGATTTAACTCTTTTCAGATATTCTTCTTAGAAGTCCCTTTGCTAGTCATTTTTAAATTATTTACATTGTGTTTTGTTTTCCAATGATAGTGATATTTCTAATAGTAGTTTAAAGAAGGGATTTTGATAAATTCAAAGTGTTAGCATTTTCTTAGGAACAAATAAGATTTGAAAATAATAAACTTTGCATGAGAATTTTTATTACATCAAATGGATTATTTGTCTTTTCTTAGAGTAAAATAAAGTAGAAAATGTTACTTAGGAAGACACATACTTTAGGCACTAAATAAATATCTACTTCATATTTTAATAATTGAGTTATATACTTTTTAAAATTTCAGAATATTACAGGGGTACAAAGATTTAGGTTACATATATTGCCTTTGTACTGCCCAAGTCAGAGCTACAAGTGTGCCCATCCCCCAGTTTATTCTTGCTTTTGAGAAGTTACATGCTGTCACCAAACAAAATTTTGATGGATTTAAAACATACATAGTTGACTCTTGAACAGCATGAGGCTTGGAACACCAACCTTCCCCCCCCCCCACAGTAAAACAATCTGTGTATACCTTTTGAGTCCTCAAAAAGTTAACTACTGATAGCCTACTGTTGACTGGCAGCCTTACTGATAACATAAAGTCAGTTAACACACATTTTATATGTAATATGTATTAATATATATTGTATTCTTATAATAAAGTAAGCTAGAGAAAAGAAAATGTTATTAAAAATGATGTGGAAGAGAAAATGTATTTATTGTTCATTAAGTTCTTAGAAGTGGGCTGTGCGGGATGGCTCATGCCTGTAATCCTAGCACTCAGAGAGACCAAGGCAAGAGGATCACTTGAGCTCCGGAGTTTGAGACTAGCCTAAGCAAGAGCGAGACCCTACCTCTACCAAAAAGAGAAAAAATTAGCCAGGCAATTAAAATAGAAAAAATATGCCAGGCATGGAGGCTGAGGCAGGAGGATCTCTTGAGCCAGGTGTTTGAGGTTGCTGTGAGCTAGGCTGACACCATGGCACTCTAGCCTGGGCAACGGAGTGAGACTCTGTCTCCAAAAAAAGTAGAGAGGATCATTGTAAAGGTTTTCATCATTGTCTTCACCTAGAGTAGGCTGAGGAGAAGAAGGATTTGGTCTTGCTGTCTCAGAGGTGGCAGAGGCCAACCTATAAGTAGACCTATGGAGTTTAAACCCATGTTGCTCAGGGGTCAACTGTATTTATATTTTTGGTAGGCTGAATTTATAAATTTTAGTAAATAATAGATGAAGACTTTGGTTTTACATACCATACACAGTAAAAACATTAAGAAGAATTTCCCTAGGCTCAAAGCAAAATGTGTTATTTACAATCCAGTTGTCTTTTATTTTTAATGATTAAAAAACTAGACTCCAGAGTACAATTAAGTGATATTTTCTGTATGAAAGATAAGTATAGCATCAAACTCCATGTTTGACATTGATCTTTTTAATGGAGTGTGCTGTATTTTAAACTGTTAGCTGAAACTGTGAATGAAGATAAAGATGTAAAGGGGAGGGAATATTTACAACATATATCAAAACCCTTATCCTAATGTGTGTAGTATTAAAGATCTCTTAAATGTGAAAAGAATACAACTACGCTTTGTATGGAACCAGAGAAGACCTCGTATAGCCAAAGCAATCTTAAGTAAAAAGAACGAACTGGGAAATATCAGCGTACCAGACTTTAAGCTGTATTACAAGGCTACAGTAATTAAAACAGCGTGGTATTGGCACAAGAACAGAGACATAGACCTTTGGAACAGGACTGAGAATCCAGAGATGAAACCATTTGCATATGGTAATCTAATCTTTGACAAAACACAAAAATATACACTGGGGGAAAGAATCTCTTTTCAATAAATGGTGCTGGGAAAACTGGGATAGCTACATGCAGAAGATTGAAACTGGATCCCCACCTCTCACAAAAATCAATTCATGATGGATAACAGACTTAAACCTAAGGCATGAAACCTTAAGAATTCTAGAAGATGTTAGGAAGACGTTTCAGACATTGGCTTAGGCAAAGAATTTTTGAAGACGACCCCAAAGCAATCACAACAACAACAAAAATAAATAAATGGGGTCTGATCAAATTAAAAAGCTTTTGTACAGCCAAGGAAACTATCATTAGAGCGAATAGACAGCCTACAAAATGGGAGAAAATATTTGCTCTCTACACATCTGATAAGGGCTGATAACAAGAATCTCTAGAACTTAAAAAAATCAAGAAAAAAAATCAACCCCATCAATAAATGGGCAAAGGAAATGAACAGAAACTTTTCAAAAGAAGACAGAATAATGGCCAGCAAACATTAGAAAAATGCTCCACATCTCTAATCATTAGAGAAATGCAAATCAAAATCACAATGAGATATCACCTAATCCCAATGAGATTGCCTCTTATCAAAAAATCTCCAAACAGCAAATGCTGGCGAGGATGTAGAGAGACAGGAACACTCTTACACTACTGGTGGGACTGCAAGTTACTGCAACCCCTGTGGAAAAGAATTTGGAGATACCTCAAAGAGCTAAAAATAGAAATACCATTTGATCCAGCAATAGCACTATTAGGCATCTACCCAAAAGAGCAAAAGACATTCTATAATAAAGACATCTGCACCCGAATGTTTATAGCAGCACAAGTCACTATTGCAAGGATGTGGCAACAACCCAAGTGCCTATCAATTCATGAGTGGATTATTGAAATTTAGTGTATGTATACAATGGAATACTACTCAATAATAAGAAATGACAGTGATGTAGCACCTCTTATATTTTCCTGGATAGAGCTTGAGCCCATTATCCGAAGTGAGGTATCACAAGATCGGAAGAATAGCCTCCACATGTACTCGCCATCAAATTGGCACTGACTAATCAACACTAAGGTGCTCACACGGTAGTAATATTCTCCCAGGATTAAGAGGTTGAGGGGATAAACTCAAAACTAAATGGACATGATAGAATGGACAAGATACAAGCAGATAGTTCAAAACAACAGAAACACAGTTGATAAAGAAATATATAAACACATATGCTAATAGTAATCAAAGAAGCATAATTTATGTTGATTGACAAAATTGTTATTGGTCCAAATTATACCCAGTGGTTATGGGTTGGAAACAGGAGTTTGCTTTAATTGGTCTAAATTATAGGAATACCTTGTTCAAGGTTAAATATGACAACATACATAAAAAACTAAGTTTGATATTTGACTAATCCTTTTTTGGCATTCTATATAAATAATTATTGATGAGAGCAAACATCTTTAAAGATGTTTATCTCAACTTTGTTTATAATAGCAAAAAAATCAGGAAAATAGTGTTAAGTAATACAGAATTTGTTAAATTATGGTAAATCTAATGAAGAAATAATGATTTGCACCCTTGAAAATAACATTGTAGAAGAATACATAACATGGGAAGATGTTAATGGTATTGGAAATGAAAAACTAGATTATGAAATATTATGTACTGCTTGATTGCATTAAAAATTGTAATTTATATATTTATTACTATGTATTAATATATGCACACACATGACATATATTAACACACATATGGAAAGATAAAATAAGACTGTTTAAATATGAAAGACTGTTGTCACTGTAGGAACTAAGCCTACACCTGGTGGGTGTATTTTGGGTTCAGAACAAATGCAAATGTTATAAACCCTGACTGGCTATTAATGAGGAAGCATTAATAATGTTATTCAGCTTATCATCCCTGTAAGCAAGGAATTAACTGATACTGTCTAAACTGAAATACATAGTTTTCTTAAAATGATTATTTTTAAAATGTTTCTTTAAAATTCCCTCATTTATATTTTTGTTTATATTTTAGT